CTTTGTGCAAATAAGTCACTGAAAACCGCTAGGAATGCTTGTACACAAAATGGTCCTATACCAGGTCTCCCAGACTTACTCTGAAATGTCCTTGTTTTAATTCTACTGAGAACTTGAGGACTTTTTTTCCTGCCTCCCTCGCCCACTCATCCTCTGCTGGGAGGAATATATGAGTACTGACCACATTAGAAGCCAGTGACAGCAGAGAGCAGCTCTGGAGGGAGAAATATTAATAGCCCCAGATCAGCCCTTTGCTCTGGTGGTTCCTTTTTTTAACCATCAAAATGGTAAGAGGCAGGATCAGTATGTCGGCCAGGGGCAGGGGGACACACGACCTACCTGCTATAACTGTGTGCTAGATGGTAAGTGCACACACACACACAATACATATGTACATACATACACATTCATGCATGTACACACTATACACGTGTGCATTACATATGGGTGCATATGTAAGTGTGCAATGTGTGTGTGTTTTATATATTTCAGTAGATCATCAAGGTAGGAAACCACTCATTTATTCAAGGATATTCCTTATTTGTTCCTGAATTCTGCCCAAACTTCTACGATTAGTTCCTGTATTAAATGATCTTCATTTAAATAACTGGCAAGAGCCCTGGCCGGTTTGGCTCAGTGGTTGGAGCACCAGCCTGCGAGCCAGAGAGACCCGGGTTCGGTTCCTGCTAGAGGCGCAAGCCTTGGTTGTAGTTTGTCCCTGGCCCTGGTTGGGGTCGTGTGGGCGGCAACCACTCGATGTGTCTCTCTCGCATTGATGTTCTCTTTCTCTCTCCCTCCCACTCTATCTGAAGATAAATGCAAAAATGTCATTGGGTGAGAATAAAAAAATAACAATAATAAATAAATAAATCACTGGAAAGAATTCTGATTCTTATTAGGGTCATGACCAATACAGGCACACAATAGGAACTAAATAGAGATGGCTCAGAGAACAAATGTGAAAAATCAATACCCAAACTTCCAATATCTTCTTCTAAACATTTGGTAGAATTGTTGAATAGTACAATTATGTCCCTCCACCACTACAGTGAATTTCTGGATTGACAGAGACCCAACATATATGGGAACCAGATAGCTCAACAAGTATATCCTATTATTCCTCCAAAAATGTTTTTTTCCACAAAAATATGGGTCTTTCAAAAGCCATATTCAAATACACACGTTCATTGTTATATTTCTGATTTATCATAAAGACAATGTTAATTTTCCATTATTCTTATAAAACATGATCACTTTTATTTCAAATTGTTTATAAACAAAATACTAAATTGTTCTGTAGCTTTGATAGCTTTGCTGAAGACTGAAATTAAGCCCACTGCAATACCTGCCAGAATTTCCTTTTTGTCCATTATTTTTAAAAAGAATATTTAGCCTGGCCAGTGTGGTCCAGTGGTTGAGCGTCAACCCATGCATCAAGAGGTCGCTGGTTCGATTCCCAGTCAAGGAACATGCCCAGGTTGTGGGCCAAATCCCCAGTGGGGGGCATGCAGGAGGTGGCCAATCAATATCTAGCTCTCTCTCCCTCTCCCTTCCTCTCTCTCTAAAGTCAATAAAGAAAAAAAACATTTTTTTTTTTAAAGAGAATATTTAGCTATCTCTAGCTTTGGGGCACCATGCATGAATTCCATGACTCCTCCAAGATGACTAGTGGTAATGAGGGTAATTACATCTGTAAATCCCTGAGTATAATGCATGATACAGATCTTATCTTATTTTATGGTCCAGAATACAAGAGCTATCATTTACCGAGGACCAGATAAGCATCTCAGTGTTTCATGTGACCTCTTTATCAATGCTGTTTCAATTACTGTTTCTTCTACACATTATATTCCGTAGCAGAAAATAAAGTCAACTTATTTTACTATAATATATTCTTCCCCCTCCAAAAGGAGAACTTTTTCCTTTAAATGTAGAGAACTTTGCCCCTTTTGTCCTCAGCTGGCCCAGTTCTAACACTATTCTTACACTACCATTGTAATTTTTAACCTTTTTCTTTTCTTGACTCATCGGTTATGTGCTCCTACCTTCCAACACCTAGACTTGACCTTTTACGTCAGTGTTCTGTGCCTTCCATGCGATCCCGAGACTGGACACCGTTTTTCCCCACCAGAGGACATGGAACCTGGAGCAGTGCTTAGCTCAGTGCACCCCCCTCTCCCTGACTCGGGCGCATGCAGGGTGCCTGCCCCGCCTTCCACCTGCACGCCAAGGCCTGGTAACCAGCACTGCACCTCCATTTCTCTTTTGTTCCCAAAGAATTCTTAGCACAGCATTTATGTAAAAATGCTTAATGCGTATTTGCCACGTACTTGTACTATACTGTGGGGAAAAAAGAAATAATAAATCAAAGATCCTACTCTTTACCAGTTTCTGGACAGGGGCATGGTACAAATTCACAAATTATCGAAGGGAACAAGGGACTATGACTGTAAATGTAAACTGCTTATGCCAGTCGATGTGAACAGACTAACAGAACCTTAGCTCTTCAGAAGTAACTCCTGAGGCCGCCCTGGAGCAGGCTGGCCACTGTAGTCCCACCGGCGGGCGAGCCAGAGAGCGGGGCCCAACACAGAGGTCTTTCTCCAACGTGCTTCAAGAACTACTGTGGTTCATGGTTGAAAATTTCTCCTTGCTGAAATATAAGCAGGCGGTTTATTTAAAAATTTTCCAAGTGTTCTTTTCAGACTTTAACCAGCCTGATATCCTTACCTTACTCTGTGTGGCCCATGTCTATGGAGGCGGCTCTCAACTTGCCTGCCGTAAGGTCTGCCACAGGTGGGTCGAAACTGACAGGCAGGGCCGAGCCAGGTATTTGGGACTGAGGTTTATATTCTTTTTAAAATAATGCAAAAGCACAAATACCAAACTAGGTAGAAAGACAACTTTATTTTTAGAATGAAAAAAAAGAAATCTCAACAACTGATTGGAGCCCTGGAGATCTCAGAGATCTTTCTTCTGAGGCAGCTGGAAATAATTTAGCAGAAAGGCTTACTCAGAAATGCTTCTGGTTTTTTTTTTTTTTCTTTTCTTCCTTTTTTGTTATTAATCCTTTCACCTTTTTCACTCCCAGATCATGCTCTCTCTCCTCTGGCAGCTGTCAGTCTGTTCTACGTAGCTATGAGTCTGCTTCAATTCAGTTAGTTCATTTTGTTCATTAGAGTCCACATGTAAGTGAGATCTTACGGTATTTGTCTTTCTCTGGCTGGCTTATCTCCCTTAGCATAATATTCTCAAGATCCATCCATGATGTTGCAAAAGGTAAGATTTTACTTGAAACCTGTATGGTTTTATTAACCAATGTCGCCCTAATAAGTTCAATAAAATAAAAGGAACGCTGCAACCTGTCATTCCCTTCCCACCTAAAACACCAACAGCTCCCAGTAACTCCCAATATTTCCAGAGACCTAAGCAAATGAATATCTAAAGCTTGATTTCACTAACTTCATCTCGGATTCACCTCTGACATCAGGGGCTGGTTAAAACAGGTTTTCTTAACACTTAGAATCTGGGACAAGAAGTCCTATGACAAGTATTAAAAGATCCCAGAGGACTGATACACAGTTGCCACGCCCATCACGCAGCCTGCTCCCAGGCTGGAAGTTGCACAATGCAGAACCACTCCTGGGTGTTCATAGACTAATAGCACCTTAGAAGGCAAGCAAAGAAGAGGCCGACTGTCCTCACTGAAAATGGACTATAAGTGGAAGACAAAAGGCAGTGTTAACTTTTTACAAGTGAACCTAAATAATTCCATCGTTTTACAATTTAAACACATTGAAAGGTCAACTGACTTTAGCAAGAACACAAGACTGAAACTGGCTGAACATCTGGACTGCAAATCTGCTTGCTCTTTCATTTAATTTTAAGGGGGAAAAGTTTTACATATTCCTCTTTCAGGTCAGAGTATAATTGTTCATTTCTGACTTCAGGAGCTCTCCCAGAATAAAGCCATGGTTAAATTTGTTGCTTTACCTAACACCTCAAGGTAACATTTACCTACTGCCCAGGCGACTCAATGTTGTCATCGCAAGTCTTCTACCAGCCAAGGTGAGAAACTTGGGTGACATTCAACGCCCCCCTTCCCAAAAGCATTTTCCTTCTGCAAACAGAAATTGCAACCACAGTCTGCACACACTAGTCCACCATGAACCCGAGTCAGTTTCTCTCCAACTACACTACACATTAGGGGGCCTGGGGGCCTGGAGTCCCGGGAGCCAGGGGACAGAAGCGGTGGCTGTGGGTCAGGTGGCCGCAGCTTGCTGTCTGAGATCCTTGGCTCCTCAGCGGAGCTTCCTGTTGGACCACCAAACGGTTTCTCCGGAAGAGGGGACTCCCTGGCGCATCTATTCCCGCTGGACTTGAGACGCACTTCGGATGTCCCCCACCCCGATTCCACAACCAGCCCAAATCCACAACCAGAGACACGAAATCATGAGTGACTTCTCTAGCTGTGGACAGTTTGGTTCAGTGGATAGAATGGCAGCCCGAGGACCGGAGGGTCTCAGGTTCAATTCCCGGTCAGGGGCAGGAACCTGGGTTGCAGATTCGATCCCGGCCCTGGTCAGGGTCCTGCAGGAGGCAACCAATAGATATGTCTCTGTCACATCCATATTTCTCTCCCCCTGTCACTCCCTCCCACTCTATCTAAAAATCAATGGAAAAAATATGTGAGGATTAAAAAAAAAGAGTAACTTCTCTAGACTTGGGCGATCTTTCTTCCAGAGTGCGGCTGGTTACGCTCGGAAAAAAAGCTGCTAGGGGCGGGGCACTTTGGGCCACCGCCTCCGGGTTTGGGCACTGTCCCCAGAAGTCAGCCTCAGGGAAGGAGATCAAAGGGGGCAAATCACAATTCAGCAAACTCCGCGAAGCTACGGCCGTGCCCGCGGGCGGCCAAAGTGCAGGCAGAGGAGGGAGAGGCGGCGGGGACCCACCCACCTCCAGCCCCGGGCGGCCGAACCGTGGCGGGCGCGCGCGCTCACCTTACTGAACACCTCCAGGTCGTCCTCGTCCCCGTCCAGGTCCAGCGCCTCGGCCGGCAGCAGGGCGGAGGGGCTGTCCCCGCCGTCCCCGCCGGCCCCGCCGTCAGGGAGGCCGGAGGAGCGTCGCGGAGCCGCGGAGAGCTCGCCCTCCATCCCGAGAGTGCGCGCCCGCCGCCCGCGGCGCCCGCGGCGCCCGCTGCCCGCCCGGCCCCCGAGCGCGCCCATTGGCTCCCGCGCAGCCCGGCCTCCCGGCCCCGCTCCAGCCCCGGCCGCGCGCAGACGCGGAACTGCCGCCGGCTCGTCCCACCTGGCCCGGGGCCCGGCCGGGCGCAGGGAGGGACGTGGGTCCCCGAAGGCGGGGCGGGAGGGCACCCTGGCAACGTCCCGGCCGCGACCTGGCCTCAGGCTGCCCAGCGGGGTTTCCGCGCGCGCTTGGGGGTCCCGGCGCGGCGACCCGCCCCCTCGGCGGATCCAGGCGGGGCTGGAAGGCGACCCACCCGTCCGTCCCGCCCAGAGAAAAAGCCAATATTGTATTTCCTGGATGTTAATGGTTGCCTTTCTTCCCGTTGTGGTTTGGACTCTTTCTTTAAGGCTAATGCAAATATAAAAATAAGACGTGAAACGCTCTTTTGGGATTGATTTTTGACCCAGTGACCGGATTGTGTGGTCATTTCACTCTCAAGACAGGAAAGTTGGATTGAAAAACAATTTTCAGCCACTTTCAAATGTAATTTTACTCCTGGAAGCCTTCCTGAAGTTCATGAGCAAGAATCAAGGGGCAGGACTGGGCACCGCCGCCTGGACGCGATCTCCAGGCTGCGCTCTGATTGCAAAGCTGTGATTAGCTGCTCACTGCTTGTTGTTTGTCAAAAAAAAAAAAAAAACCACACCAAATTCCACCCTGGCCGGCTTGGCTCAGCGGTTAGACCGTCGGCCTGCGGTCCAAAGAGATCCGGGTTCTATTCCGGCTAAGGGCATGTACTTGGGTTGCAGTTGGTCCCCGGTTCTGGTTGGGTCGTGCGGGGTTGGGTTGTGCGGGTGGCAGCCTCTAGATGTGTCCCTTTCACGTCGATGTCTCTCTCTCTCCTTCTCTCCCTCCCTCCCTCCCTCCAGCTCCATCTGAATAAAAAAGTGGGTGAGGATAAAAAAACAAACCCAAATTCCAAAAAGAATGGAATAATGTAATGCAAATTGGTATATTTTGGAACCATCTTCAGGTTTTATTCTCTACTCCCCTAGGCCCAGCTCTTTTTTCCCAAAGGCCCTGGAAAGAATGGCTGAGAAGTTTGCACAGAGCACGGGAGGAGGCTCTAATTCAGGCTTGATTTCTCAAATCTTTCCTGGCAAAATATTTAGCCCAATGTTTAACATTTTTAACTTTAAACAAATTAAAAGATATATGTAAGGTAATTGAAGAAATAGTGAATTGTCCTATTTCTGATTAGAGGACAGGCCTTAGTAGTATATACCCTCTTAACCATTCAGATGTACCTCTCGTTGGTTTCAGTTCCCACACCCATTTCTTCAGTCAGGATGGTCTGCTTCAGACGAATGTCCAGTCTCCCTCCTGCTTTACCCTCCCTGTTCCCGAAATGTCCATCTTTGGAATTAACTACAATCCCATCTCTTTCAGGAAGACTTAACAAGTGACACATTCCTTTCCCAAATTAGCATTTAATTTTATTCCATCTTAAAGATTGTAGTTATTTCATGTAGATGCCTTACATTCTTTGGTGAACTATAACATTTTAAGGTTAGGGATCACATTATTGATTAATAAACCACATTATCCGATGTGGTCACTTAGAAAGCCTCTGCTAGAGTCTATAAGGAATACAAGTTATTAAAAGACTATTTTTACCTCACTAAGGTCATTCTGGCTCATGAGGAAAATGCAAGGTTTTCTCACTGCAATCTGAACCAGGAAATTCTTAAGAATACGGTGACTCTCAGCATTGGCAGAAAGGACAGAGCTGGGCTCGGGAAGTGGGCAGAACAAACCAAGATGGCAGCTTGGATCACAGCAAAACCACGATAGAACTAATGGGCACACACTGCTGCCGCCACACCACCTCCACATACTGCCGTTAACACTGATGTCGCTGGATACCAGGTGCTGCCACCAACAGCAGTACCACAGCTGCCTCTGGAACTGCCTCTGCTATTACTGCCACCAAAATGCCCCACAGTCCTATGTCTCTGTGTTAGTGGTTCTAGTTTAGAGCCCAGCAGGGTAGAGCACCTTGGTATTGATGCCCAATTTGGGTTTTATTTGCTCCTCTTTTTCTAGTTTGTTAAGGCTGAACCTGAAGTAATTGATTAGGATCTTCATTCATTTCCAATATTAATGTTTAATGGCATAAATTTCCCCCTAGGCACTGCTTTTGCTTATTCAACCTGTTTTAATTTCCATTCACATAAAAAATATTTCTAATTCCTTTTTTGACCAATGGGTCATTTAGAGGGACGTTATTTAATTTCTGTGATGGTTAATTTTATTTTCCAACTTGGCTAGACTATGGTGACTAATTAGTTAGGCAAACATGAGTCTAGATGTTGCTGTAAAGATATTTTTAGATGTAACTAGCATTTATAATCATTTGACTGAAACTAATACAAACAAATTATCCTCCATAATTGGGTGGATCTTATGCAATTACTTGAAGAGCCTAAGAGCAAAGACTTAGGTATCCAAAGAAGAAGGAATTCTACCTCCAGATTGCAACATAGATATTCTGCCTGAGTTTCCACCCTTGGGACTCAAGACTATCACATCAACTCTTATCTGAATCTCTAGTTGCTGGCTTGACCTCCAGATTTCAGATTTGTTCAGCTTTGCCCCCACAGTCACGTCAGCCAATGAGCCAAATTCTTAAAATCTCTCTCTCCCTCTCTCTCTGATAGATCTCCTATTGGTCCTCTTTCTTTGGGGTATTTTTGACTAAAACAGTGTCCAAATATTTGGGGATTTTCCACAGATGTTTCTATTTTGTTGGATTTCTAAATAATTCCATTGTAGTCAGACAACATACTTTATATGATTTAAATCCTTTTAAATTTAGTGAGAATTGTTTTATTGCCCAGAATAAGACAATCTTGGCAGATGTTATATGCGCATTTGAAAAGTATGTGTATTCTACTGTTGCTGGGTAAAATGTTCCGAAAATATCTTTTAGGTCTGGTTAGTTGATAGTGTTACTTGAGTCTCTATACCTTTGCTACTCAGCATTCCATTACACTGAATACTTCTTTTACCCATTTTGCAAAAGGGCAGCTGAAATCAGACCCTGTAATTACGGATTTGTCAGTTTCTCACAGTTCTGTTAAGTTTTGCTTCATTATTTTCAATTTCTGTTAATGGGTACATAAATGTTTAGGAACACTATGTCTTATTTGAATTGACCCCTTTATCATTTTGAAATGACTTTTTTATGCATAATATGTTTATTAAACTGAAATTTACCTTTTCTGATAGTACTACAGACACTCCAGCTTTTGATTAGTAGTAGCATTTATTTCTATTTATTCCATTGGTTGCTGTTTCCTTTTATCTATTGTAAATGGTATTTTTAAATTTTCAAATTTCAGTTGTTCATTGCTGGTAATTAAGAATATATGTTGATCAGTATGCTGAAACAACCCTAAAAATGCTATTATTAGTTCTAGAAGCTATTATGTAGACATTTTTTGTTTTCCTACATACATAATCATATATTTGGATATTAGAATTATTTGTGTAGTTTAAAAGATAAGAGACAGCCCTGGCCGGTTTGGCTCAGCGGTTAGAGCGTCGGCCTGCGGTCCAGAGAGATCTGGGTTCGGTTCCCGCTAAGGGCACGTACCTCGGTTGCAGTTTGTCCCCGGCCCTGGTCGGTTGTGTGGGTGGCAGCCACTTGATGTGTTCCTTTCACATCGATGTTTCTCTCTCTCTCTGTTCCTCTCTCTCTGTTCCTCTCTCCCCCTCCCACTGTACCTGAACAAAAGATGAAAAAATGTCCTCGGGTGAGGATAAAAAAATAAATAAATAAATAAATAAAAGATAAGAGACAGTACTAGGTCTTCAAAATAATTTAGATTTGGGAATGGGAAGATTACCCTCTTTAAGAAAAAAAAAGTAAAATGCATGAGATCATTTATTAAATTAAGTTTGCAAAAATAACCTTAAAATACGTCCATGTTAAAGGAAATAGAACAGATTCTCAAAAATGCTAATCATGATAAAACTGTTGCCTAACTGATGTTTTTAAACATATCTAAAGAAAATGTTAATAGATAGGGAATTTAGAAAAGATAAGGCAAAAGGGCAAAGTGTTGACATTTATAGATTAGCAATTAAACCAGCAGCAAGATGAACGCCGCAGCTTCAGGGAAATGAGCAAGACTTCTGTAGACAGAATGGCTCCTTATATCTACACTGGCCTGGACCCAGTTCCCCCCACTGGTGTGACTTCTGAGGTCCTATCTGTACATTCACCAGCTATAAGCCTCTGCCTCCTGTTGGTGCTGCTTTTTGAAGAGCTCAAAGTGATGGCTTTAACAAGTTAGGAACCCATCATGGCCCAGAAGTCTGAGATTCATGGAATACATGATGGCAAAGTTCCAGTGTGTCAACAATCAGTATCTAACTGCCATTTGCTGTCTTCAAAATACAGCCCTTTATATCAACAGGATGGTCCAAGGCTCTGTTTATTGGAAAGCGATTCAAGAAAGAGTGATTTAGAGAGAGACGCTCACGGAAAGATAAACAAAGTCAAGGAGAAATACAAAGGTGACTTATACAATTGACCCAAATCAGGAATCAAATTGATGTTAGGATTCGAGCTAATATGTACTAGCTGGTTAGAAAAGATTCCCTTGCAAGAAGAAAGCAATGTTTAAAAGGCTATGAATCGGTGAAATGTCTATAGGCATTTAGAAAGGGATATGAAAGAAAAAAAAAAAAAAGAGTTGAAAGCCCTAGAGCTCAGGTTATTTGAGAGGAGCAGACACAGGCACAGACTAGGGGAGGCTGGGCATCCAAGCTGCAGACACACCCACCCAGGGCTCCCCTTTGCTCTCCTTACTCTGTTTCAAGTAATAAAAACATCAGAGGTGCTTTCCTTTTTTTTTTTTA